CACACTCCTCTTTCAGTTTCATCAAGGGGCTGTTTAGTTCCTCTTCGCTTTCTGCCATAAGGGTGGTGTCATCTGCATATCTGAGGTTATTGATTTTTCTCCTGGCAATCTTCATTCCAGCTTATGCTTCATCCAGCCCGGCATTTCCCATGATGCACTCTGCACATAAGTTAAATAAGCAGGGTGACAGTATACAGCCTTGACGTACTCCTTTCCCAATTTTGAACCAGTCCATTGTTCCATGTCCGGTTGTAACTGTTGCTTCTTGACCTGCATACTGATTTCTCAGGAGGCAGGCAGGTAAGGTGGTCTGGTAGTCTCATCTCTTTAAGAATTTTCCACAATTTGTTGTGGTCCACACAGTCAAATACTTTAACGTAGTCAATGAAGCAGATGTTTTTCTGGAATTCTCATCTGACCTCATTTAACCTTAATTACTTCTTCCAAATACAGGTTAGGGCTTCAGTGTGTGAATTTGGGGAATGGAGGGGCAAATACAACATTTGGTGCATAATAATAATATACTAAAAATCATTTGTTCTTTATTGAAATTCAAGTGTAACTGCATATCCTACACTGTATCTGACGATCCTACTCACACAGCTGTGGTTTCTGATGCCCTTCCGTGTCCAGGACTCTGGGATCAGCCAGCTCAGTACTCATGACAGTGTTGCTGGGGTTGGGGGTGGGGTGTGGTTACCATCCCTGCTTTCACCCTAGGAGGAAGTCACGCCTTGAGAGGTTAAGCAAGTTGCCCAGAGTCACACAGTTACCAACTGGCCCGGGCAGATAGATGAGGCAAGAGTCAATCTGGCTGAGGCAGGGTCCAACCCAGAGCACCTTCCTGCAAAGTGAGGCTGGTGACCACTTTGTCAAAGCCCCTCTACAGAGAAGGCTACTGTGGTGCTCAGGACCAGGCTCTGTTAGCTTGAAGCACATAAAGTTCTCCGAAGTGAAACTGTGTGTGCGCACAGGCCACAAGCCCACAACTGAGTAATAATTCAACCTCTTCCCCTCCAAAAACCGTATTCATAAAACAAGCAATGAGATACCAGCAAGCAGCTTTTCCAGGCATCACCTTTAAAAGTGGATGAACTCCCTGGAGAAGGAAATGGCAACCCACTCCAGTATTCTTGCCTGGAGAATCCCATGGACAGAGGAATGCTACAGTCCAAGGGGTGGCAAGAAGTCCAAAAGGACTGAGTGACCCAAAAGACAATGGATTCCAGGTTCCTGAAGGGCCAAGAGGGCCCTCTTCCGGACGGTAAAGCTGTTCCCTGGCCTTGGAAGACAGGTCCCAGGGAAGTTAAAAAAAAAAAAAGAAAAAGAAAAGTGGATGAACTGACTCCAGGAATGTGTGTCAAATCAGTCAAAGCAAATAATGCTGGAGTCGGAGGCAGGGTTATTTCCCTGGTGGTCCAGTGGCTAAGATACTGCATTCCCAATGCAAGGGGCCCGGGGTTCGATCCCTGAGCAGGGAAATAGATCTCATAAGCTGCAACTAAGACCTGGTGCAGCCAAATAAATAAATAAATAGATATTTTTAAAAAAAATACTGCTGTCTCCTCTGCCTTTATTTTTTTGGCCCCATCACTAAGCTTTCACAATCTTAGTTCCTCAACCAGGGCTTGAACTCAGACCCTTACTAGTGAAAGTTTGGAGTCCTAACCACTAGACAATCCAGGAATTCTCCACCTTTCCTTTTTTTAATTAACTTTTTGGCAATTTTAAATGCGGTATATTAACATCAATAAAATGCACAGATCTCAGTGTACAATTCATTACTTTTGGACAGTTGTATATTTTCTGTAACAACTGCCCCAAAACAAGATGTAGACAATTTCCATCATTCCAGAAAGCTCCCTTGTGTGTCTTTCCAATCACGCCCTTTCCTCCCCGCACATGACCCCTGTTCTGATTCCTGTCACCACAGATGAGCTGGTACCTGAGCATCAGATGAAGTGATTCATATAGATTATGTTCCTTTGTATCTGGCTTTTTAATCTTTTGTTTTGTTTTTGAGTGGGGTGAAGTTCACATAAAATAAAAAGCATCATTTTAAAGTGTGTGATTCAATGGCATTTAGAACATTTCACCGTGGTGTGAAACCACCACCTCTATCAAATTCTAAAACATTTTCATAACCCCCCCCACTGAAAGCAGGGGTCCGCACCCTCCGGGATCTAATGCCTGATGATCTGAGGTGGAGCTGATGTAATACTAACAGAAATAAAGTGCACAATAAATGTCATGCACTTGAAATCCTGATACTATCCCCTGCCCAGACTGTGGAAAAATGGTCTTCCACAAAACTGGTCCCTGGTGCCAAAAAATTTAGGAACTGCCGACCCCCCAAGGAGACCCCGCCCCCAACAAGTTCTCACTCTCTAGTCCTTTGCCACCCCCAGCACCTGGCAACTGATCACCTGCTCTCTGTCTAATCTTTACTTTTTATGGCTCATCAATCCTCAACCGTCTGGTAAAAGTCCCACGAGTAGAGAGGGATTATTAAAAAGAGAGCCGAAGAAGAGAAAGCAGAAGGACAGAAGATCAAGCCAGACAATCAACCCATGAAGAAGGACGGCATTCCAGATGGTCAAGCCTTGAAGAAGGACAACATTCCTAACCAGGAAGAGAAAGCCTATTCTTCCTCTTGAGAGAAGGCTTCTGCTCCAACCAGTCTTAAAGCCTGCTCCAGTGCTATCTTGGCAAGTGGTGTTTATTTTCTTATCAAGAAAGCACAGTCCAGGGGCAATGTTGAAACAAGAAAAGCTCCACAGCTGGCTCTCTGTACAAAAGGCATTGACATAAAAACCAAAGTAAATGTTAGCATCCTGGAAACAGCAGCAGGTGTTTTAAACACAAGAATAGCAGCCGGTTTGGGAGAATTGTGACCACCTGGTAAGCAGTATCTACTTAGAATTCATCTAAAATGGTCATCATGGGGATGGTTTCTGACTTCTGGGCATGTTCTGCCATTGATCTTCTTGCTCAGTCTTTCTTTGTAGGGGATTTCTGGAAAATTTTCATGTTTTCTAAGCAGATTCTTGTTCACCATCATGTGCTTAGCACCTAATACCGAAGATGATGCTTGGCACAGAGTGTTTCGGTCGCTCAGTTGTGTCCAGTTCTTTGTTGTCCAGTGGCACGTGGGATCTTCCCGGACCAGGGATCTGACCTGCATGCCCTGCATTGGCAGGCTGATTCTTCACCACTGGACTGCTGGTTGCTTCTGTGTCATAGATATTTGTGTGCGTCTCCTCTTGGACAGTGGGTTCTTGGACAGATAGGGTCCATGTTGTTAATATCTCTGTATCATCCAGGTAACTAGTAAAGAGCCTTTTCAGGTTCCAAGCATTCACTGAATGTTTGCAGAATTAAGGAATCACTAATAATTCCCAACTAGATACCAGTACTGAAATAAGCTTGAACTCTAAGAGGTTAACCCTCTTCTTCTAAGTTTGTTAACTTTTGCTTGAATTGAATCTCAATGTCCCTGACAATAGCAACAAAAATTCAAAGGAAAGGGCTCTCATGGCTATGATGGAATATTCTAGAATTCTACTGTGCCTTCTGACTGTGATTCCTTGAAAATCCCTGTGAGATGGGTCCTATAATTATCCTTGGATGAGTAATGGGAAAACAGAGGTTCTGAAAAATTAAGGACTTGTCTGGGGTCACAGAGTGTGTGAGTGGTGAAGTTCATACTTGAACCCAGGCAGCTCAATTCTCCCCTCTGCAGGCCTACCCACCAGCCCACGCTGCCCAAGGCAAACTGACAGCTGCAGCCAGATTCCCGTGTCACCAAGTTGACTTCTTCCACTTCCAGGTAAGGAACAGAGACGTACAAGAGGCAGCACTAGGACCAGTGCTCCGGGCTCCCGGCTCCCAGCCCACAGGCACCTTCTCCTTTTGGCCTCTCAAAGGGTGGCCTCACTGGGGACCTTGGGTGCCCTGCCTCGAGGCCTCCAGGTACTATTTACTCAGCTAGGTGTGGGCTCTGCCTGGCTCCCAGCCTGCTGTTTGCACAGTAAATGTCACCCAGTCTATACCCCCACCAGGGGACGGGAACAGCGACTGAAAGGAACCTTCTTTTGCTGGTTTCGGACAACTTGACTTGAGTTTTCAGTTTCTGTGTCATATCATGCAAATCGCTGAAGGTGGGGGTTGCCTCAGAGGCGTCTTGTCCTAAAAGCAGTGGGCCTGGCCTGGGTCCTTTCTACACCTGTGCAACCTCCAGAAAGCCGGACAACCTCTGAATTCACAGGGATGCAGGTTTGAATCCCAGGTCGACCATGTGACCTTCGGCTTACCCTCTTAGAGCCTGATCTTCCTCCTCTGAGAAACAGAGCCGATTCCTACCTTGCAGAGATATGAGAGCAGAGGCTAGGAGTTATGCACCATGACTGGCTCACCTCCTGTAAGCGTTCACTCATGTTCTAGTAGTGACTTATTTCACACATCCTCATGCTGGTTTCTTTGAAAACAAAGGGAGCTTTGCGACTTAGGAGGGCCCAAACAAGGTTTCTTGGTCTTTGTGACCCTTATTTCCTATCACCGGGCTTCTTCTGGGAACAGGGTTCCAAGAAAACTTTCAGAAGCAGAGAGCAAACAAACAAGGAAGATTTTATTTTATTTTATTTTTTTCCACCCTCCTGGTCCCAACAAGGAAGATTTTAATCTGTTAAAAGAGACTGCAGATTCTGCCTTTCTCGGGAAGGCCGCTGCCTGCGGCTCACTCATCTACTCATTCAGTAACTTTACCTCCCTGATCGATTTCCAACCAGCGGTTCCTGTTTTCCAACCAGGATATGCAAACAAGAGCGCTTACTGGAAGGGAGGTCTCGGGGCCTCTGGATTTCATCAGCTGCCCATTCTCCCAGGAGAGCAGGTGGAACCAGTCGAGCCAGAGGCCAAGGCCAGAAGGCAGGCTGAACATTTCAAGGTCTGTGGGGCCTCTTCCTCTTGAGTTTTTAATTTCAATGGGATATACATAAGAAATGCCAAGGAGGAACGAGTTGATTTGTGGTTGCCAAGCCAAGGAGGGTACAGAGGAAAAACAAGATGAAATGGAAAAGGTCAACAACCTCATTGTGCAAAGTGAGGAAAGCTGCGGGGTGGGGGGAGGGTGGCGGGAGCGGGCACAGAGGCAGATCCCAGAACCCCAGGCTCCCACCTGGCTCCTGACCCCAAGAGATAACTCCTCCAAGGGACTCAGGAGAGGGACAGCACCCCCTGAACTCAGATACCCCAAAGTCCCTTCCATCTCCTTTAAGGAGAGAAGCAGAGTAAGGAACTGGGGAGGGAGTGAGTGTGCAGAATTGAAAGCCAAACAGGGGAAGGGCGGGGAGGATGGGAAGGTATCCTTTCTCTCTTTCCTGTCTCCATTTCTAAAGAAAAGTTGTTGGTTAAAATGAAAATATCAAGGAAATCTTGAAGGAGGCTAAGGATGAGGGTAAGAAAGAGACAAAGGATGTCTCAGGAGAGTTGGAGTAAGTATACCGAAATCCAGAAGGGTCTTCTTATCCACTCAGCCTCAGGAACAGTAGCAGGTGTCGAAGGTTGACTATATGTTGTGTTAGTTTCAGGTCTTTTTTAGCCCCAAATGAACTATTACTGCTTTCTTGAGACTGTAACTCTGGGGCCAGGTGGCATCTAGTTTCTCTAGTAGGGAGAAGGAGCAGGGGGAAAAGTAAAGCTAAATCCTACACAAACTCCTGCTCATCCTTCAGGGCCTCATGAATATTACCTCCTCCTGGAAGCCTTCCCTGATGGCCCTGCGGAGTTAGGCCCTTGCTCCTCAGTCCCACTCCTAAGGGTTGGTTGCAGTTATACAACATTAGTCACTTACTATCTCTCTCCGCTTCTAGATTCTGCTCCCAGTGAGAAGATAAAGGCAGCACAGCGCTCAGGATGAATGACTGACTCCAAAACAATGTTTTTCTGGCTGTGGTTCTAATTATAATGTTGGAAATACCAGTTCATTGCACAAGGAACAGAAATTTAAAAAAAAACCTACTGAATGCAAATAGTTGAGCACAGGTTAAGGATGGAAGTTTTCAGGAGAAGCTCAAGTCAGTACAAACTGTTCTCCTCCCTCTAGTCCTGGTCCCTGAAGGAGTAGGGGGACATTTGCTAATCAAGATTAGGAGTGTCCCTCTAGAAAACTGTTTTCAATTTCTGCACCCCAAATGTTTAAAGTTACACTTAGACAACACACTTCTGCAAGCCTGAACAAAGTTGATTTTTCAAGACACTAATGAAACACCTCAACTGAGAAATTTTATTTTCATCCAAAGCTGTGCCCAGGGCAGCTACCCGTTTCTCAGTTCTGTAAAGTAAAGTCAGATTCAGAGGCCCTTCGACTTGTAAAGTCACCTGGTCAACTGGAAGGTGAATCTAAAGGATCCCAGACATGTGGCTTTGGGATATTGGAGAACCTGCATTCATTCCTTCTGTGGCGGTGCCTGTTCCCGGATGGTGCTGCCCTGGGTGGGGGTCTGAGGCTGGCAGGTGGGCACTCCGGTCACCAGTGTTCTGTTATCTGGTGCCGAGGAGGCTGTTTGTGGGCGTGAAGAACTCAAACAGGGGGTTATCTCTGATGATGTCAGTTTCCTTCAGATTCCAGGCAGGGCCGCCCTGGGGAAGTGAAGGGGCTCAGACTGGACTGCCTTTGCTTCGGAGCCTGGACCTAAACGCCTATGTTCCAGGCACTCAGGCACTGTTAGGTTGCTTTCATGCACAGCCCTGTCTTTTCGAGTAAAAACAGACAACAACAAGGCTTTCCAGGGGACCCAGTGGTGAAGAATTCACCTGCCAGTGCAGGAGACGCAAGTTCGGATCCCTGATCCGAAAAGATGCCACATGCTAGGAGCTCCTAAGCCCGTGTGTCACAGCTCCCGAGCCTGTGCTCCAGAGCCCAGGAGCTGCAATGGCTGAGTCCACGTGCCACAACTACTGAAGCCCCAGCACCCTTGAGCCCGTGCTGAAGCCACCACCATGAGACGCCCGCACACACCACCAGAGAATAGCCCCTGAGATCATTTAGAAACTAGAGAAAAGCCCGCACAGCAAGGAAGACTCAGGACAGCCAAAAATAAATAGTTAAAAACAGACAACAACAATGAAAAAAAAGCTCTTGGAGAGATCCATGGTGTATTCCTGGTCCCCCAGCAGAGCCAAACACTAACCTCCACCCCGGGCTGTTCAAGTTTGGTGGTCAGTCCCCTACCTCTGGCTTCCATGCAGGCACAGACTATGACAAGGGCTTTTAGGAAACATGTTGTAGGTCCTAAGGATTGTAATAAACTCTATAATTCTGGAACTCTAGGTTGGAAAATACAACTCATTTTCAAACACAAAATGAATCTGTTTAGTATGAAGCAACAGGGTCCCCCACTTTTTTTTTCTGGCTGCGCCTTGTGACTTGTGAGATCCTAGTTCCCCGACCAGTGATTGAACCCAGGCCCTCAGCAGTGAAAGCTCGGAGCCCTAACCATTGGACCGCCAGAAAAGTCCCAACAGGGTCCCTTTTTAAAAAACTGGAGATCCCAACCTCTTCCTCCCCAGATCCTGCAGCCTTGCTCAGCTATTCTGTGCAGAGCAACTCCCACGAGCCCCCCCACCCCAGGTATGGCATCATCCAGGCCCCGCCCGGGAATCTCACCGGAAGTCACAGGTCTGTGTACCGAGGCAATGTTGACAGCTCTCTGCTGGGAATGTTGTCCTAGGTCACACAGACAGAACTGGTTGTCGGCAGCCTGTGGCCAGGTCCAGCCCACCGAGGGGTCATGTGGGCCTTTTGTCCTCTTGCTGGTGGAGAGTGAAGCTGGGAAAAACTCACCTGGTGTCCATCCCTATGATGCCTCTCCTACATCTCATCCATCACTATGGTCCACCTTCATGGGCACTTTTCTGCATGTAACCAGTGGTCAAATTTTATATTCAGACATATTTTAAAGACTTGGACCCACCATTGCTCTACTTGGCCGTCTGGGACCTGTCAAAACTCCTGGCTACCAGATATCAAAAGATCGAAGAAAGGATGAGAATTGTGTGAAACTAGGGAAAGTGTGGCAATGGCACATGGTGTGAAGGTGGATGACCCTTGGTGAGAGTAATACCTAACAGGAATTGTGATGCTTAATTGTGATGCTTTCTCTGTGTCACGGACTGTGTTTAACATATTATCTTGGTCAACACTTGATTCTTATTTTCCTAATAGGGAAATTGAGGCTCAGAGAGGTCAAGTAACTTGTCCAAGGTTACCTAAGTAGTATGTGTCAGAGCTGAAAACCTGCCCGATGTCCATTTGTCCCTAGTCCAGGCATCCAGCCTCCAGGTTGCAAGGACCGTCCTTACAGGGTCTGGAAATGGAAGATGCATGGTCTCTGTTCCAATATCTCGGAGGCAATCGTAATTCTTGTCCTCCGCTCCCAAAGCTTTTCTCTCCTCGTATTTCCTTTATTCTCCAAACCAGAGTTTGGTCTATATTTTACCCAGCTGATTCTTGGAGCTGCATAAATCCTAGATGTTTTCAAAAAAGTTTATGAGAGAACAGAAAATGTACAGCTTGCTGTCTTTCCCCACAGGAATATTAGATGTACAAAGTCAGATATAAATAAAAGACAGGAGGATTCTTTTTTTTTTTTTTAATATTGAAAGTCCCTGGGCCATTCTCAAGAAATTCAGTCTCCTATGAGCCAGGTCAGGATAAAACTCACAGCATCACCTAAATGCAAGGCCATCTCACCTTGGGAGGGATTCAGTTGCTATTATTTTAGAATCAGAGCCTCAGGGTTTATGTATGTGTCTGGGAAGGTTGAGTTTAGGTAAATCCAGTGCTGTACAGATAAATATCACTTACCGAAATTAGTCATGAAACATTTTGCAAAAATAGACATACCATACGAAAGCAAAGTAATCAAAACCAAGGCAGGATTCTAGAACAGAAAACAGAAAGTAAGGGAGAAACAGTTGAAATCCAAATAAGGTCTAGAATTTAGTTAATAGCACTGTGGCAGTATTCGCATTTTGACAAATATAACAATGGCAGTGTAGGTTGAAAACATTGTGTGCGCGTGTGCTCAGTTGTGTCCAAGTCTTTGTAACCCCATGGACTGTAGTCTGCCAGACTCCTTTGTCCATAGAATTTTTCAGGCAAGAATACAGGAGTGGGTTGCCATTTCCTACTCCAGGGGCTCTTCCAACCCAGGGACTGAACCCATGTCTCTTGTGTCTCCTGTATTGGAGGTGGGTTCTTTTTCACTGTGCCACCTAAAAAGGCTGATAACATTACGGGAAACTAGAACCGTTTGGGTAGGGGAGTGGGGCGGGAGGGTGGCATAAGGGAATTCTATTGGCCTTGTAACTTTTCTGTCCATCTAAAATTATACCCAAAAAAAGTCTATTAAAAAAAATTTCACAACCAGCACATTGACACTGGTATTTATTTTCTCAGGACTAACGAAGGGTGCCTGCCCCACTGAAATGTCTTTCAAGTAAGATAAAACTTGCTCCTCCTGCCGCCTTTGAACCTTGGTGTCAATAAACGTACCGACAATGGAGAGTCTGTACTTCAAAAATACAAAAACAAACATTGAGCCATTTACTGCTCTGGGTCAATGCCAACTGTAAAAGAGAGTCATGTCATATCTTTTCACTTTTCAAACAAAACTTTTCCTTTTGTTACTGTGTGCGCCCTTTCAGGCTCTGTTTAATTTACTGAGCAAATGAACAGCAGCGTTTTGCAGAAGCCAAAGGAGTATTGAATTTCTTAGAGCCCTAATACACACAAATGAACTTCAGGAAGTGTTGCAACTCTTCTCCAGAAAGGGGTGGGCAGCCCACAGGATTGAAGGAAGCATCCGTCAGCACCACCAGGAGGACTTCCTGCCCACAGGTTGGTGTCTTGTTACTCAAAGAGTTCAAAAATGTCTGCCTTTAAACACATACTCATGAAATTAAAAGCACTAGAATCACTAGTCCTAGCAAACCAAACGACTTCATCCATTTCTCGTGGGTAATGAATCCCTGTGCATTCAGGTCAGTTTCTTAGCTGTGACAAATGAACCACAGTCATGTAAAAGGACAGTATCAGGGGAAAAGGGAACTGGGTGAGGGGTGTACATAGCACTTTCTGACTAAAATACAACTGTGATTCCATTAAGGAAACAAAAATAGTGTATATAGACTTTGGCTTTTCACTCTTTCCCATATCATTTAAGAATTTTTCATTTCTCTTTGTGAGACTATAAAAAGTTGTCTTACAATTTTTGCTCTCCTTTTCCATCCAATTGGTGTTTATAACAATAAGCCATGTAGCACTTTTCTGCTAGAATCTGTCTCTTGAATACAGCATGAGTGCCTATAAAATAAGATACCAAGAAAAGACACAGGACACAGGAGTCTCTAACAG